TTTGGTCTTTTTGAGACAGGGTCTCCCTATAGCCCCAGCTGTCCTGGAACTCGCTATGTAGACCAGGCTGGCCTCTAACTCACAGAGATCTGCCTGCCTCTGCCTCCCAAGTGCTAGGATTAAAGGTGTGCACGCCACCACGCCCGTCCATAATAAATTATTTTAAGCATACAGAGAAAAGTAGAACCTGAGTAAATCATGAACAAATCTTAACATCAAGTATTTACTTTAGATCTTTTAAGAAATTTTTCACTGATACACTTTATAGAAATTTCTAGAATGTCAGAGATTCAGGGTCCTATTTTCTACTCCTTTATTATAAGATAGTTTGTATGATTTTTTTCTAATTTCTTTCCATCCTTATATAGCATATTGTATGTCATTCTTTATAGTACCTTTTTTTAAATGTGTATGAGTGTATTGCCTGCATGTATGTGAGTGCACCCATGTCGTACAATGCTGCAGAGGTCAGAAGAAGGCTTCAGATTCCCCTGGAACTGCAGCTAAGGACGGTTCATAGCTGCCATGTGGGTGCTGGGAATCAAACCTGGGTCTTATGCAAGAGCAGTCAGTGCTCTTAACTGCTGAGCCATCTCTCCAGCCCCCTTTATAGTGCTTTTTAAACTAATATGTTTTCCTGTTATTCTATACACTAAATATAGTTCGAGTTCATCCATTTTACTGTTGTAAAGGTTTACAAAATTAATATATCCTAATTAATATTTTTCCTGTTGAGACTTTTCATTCGTCTCCAATATCTTATTTTTTTTCTGAAATCAGTAATACTTCAATGTAAAATAAAGTCCTACTTTCTGACTTCTCCCAAGTAAAGGAACAACAACAAAAAATCACCATAAAGAAAGGATATTTCTTATAGGTGGTTTCCAAACTCTGTTTCTTAGAACCCAAGGAGTTGCACTGCAGCACCCAGCCACTGCTCTAGGTGGTACCCCTGTTTAACTGGGGCACCAGTTCTGCTTTCCTCAAACTTAACTTTCCTCCTGTCTCAGAGGAATTGTTGATTTTGGCCATATTTCCCCTATACTAGCCAAATAATTCTGTTAGGTTAGAGTCTTATACTAAAACAGCAGCTGCAGTAATCCAAAAAGGTTTCTAGGGTTAAGAAATTTATTTGGTAGGATTTTGTTCATTGCACAGACCTAGTTCCTTTGGATTCCTGACCCTTAGTAGGTGTAGGAAAATCAAGTCCAGAGAGGTTTTAAGGAAAAGAAGCCACTGTGATCCAGAAACAAAAATATCAGATCTTGGGGCTAGAGAGATAACTAGGGGTTAAGAGCACCAGCTGCTCTTCCAGAGGACCCAGGTTCACTTTCCATCACCCTCAGAGAGGCTACTGACAAGCCCATAATTCCAGTTTCAGGGGATCTGATGCCCTCTTCTGCCCTTTCTGGACATTGCATGACACCAGTACACTGACCATACATGCAGGCAAAACTTTCATACACATAACAAGAAATATATTTAGCTGGGTGTGGTGGTGCATGCCTTTAATCCCAGCACTCAGGAAGCAGAGGCAGGCGGATCTCTGTGAGTTCGAGGCCAGCCTGGTCTACATAGTGAGTTCCAGGACACCTGGGGCTACAAGGAGACCCTGTCTCAAAAAAGACCAAAAAAAAAATCAGATCTTTGTGTGAGTTGGTGAGGATATTTATTAGGGTAACTCAGGAGATGTCATTCTACGGGCTCTGTGCCAGGGCACTAGAGAGGAAGTGCCAAATAATGATCAGAAAGTTAGTGGTTGTCATATAGCATATGGAAGGTAGAGGAGCTAGGAACCCTGCCTGCTCAGGCTATGTGGGACACTCCCCTTGGAGGATAATTCTGGAGAAGCAGAAGCCGCCAACAGTCAGTGTAGGAGAAAGGGCTTCTCAGGATATCCCAGCAGCAGAGGGTTTGTCTTAGCATTTACTAACTCATTACTGAGGAAAACAAAGACTGTCAGGTGTAATGACAGGGCACAGTACACCAGAAAGGGCCTGTCTTCATGGAGAAAACCAGGAAGTATCCCTTGGGAAGAAGGGGGACAGTGTAAAACTATAGCAGGGCATGGTGAATAACCACAGAGCACACACAGGAGGTGCTAGTGATAGTCCACTCAGAACAAGTAAAAGGTCCAAATCACTTGACTTTTCAAACAAAACAACATATAAATCTTACAACAGAGAAAGGATTTCTTTTCTTTCTTTTTTTTTTTTTCTTTTTGGTCTTCTTGAGACAAGGTCTCCCTGTAGCCACAACTGGCCTAGAACTCACTATGTAGACCAAGCTTGATCTCACAGAGATCTGCCTGCCTCTGCCTCCCACATAAGTGCTGGGATTGAAGGGGTGTACCACCACACCCAACTTCAGGGAAAGGAATTTTAAAAGAAAATTTGGGACTGGGTGTCCCAGCTTCTCAAGGTTGACAAGGAATAGTAGCATTGTTATTTGACTATAAATATAAATAAAGTCTAGCATAATCAAAGTAAGGTGAAGTAAGCTTTCTATTTTGACAACAGTGGTAGTATTGTGGTTCATTGCTACTATAACAGTAATCACACCTTGATGGCCTTGAATGATACAGACTTCTTATCTTCCATTTCTCTAGATAAGAGCTTTATAATATTATTCACTATGTAAAACTCAAGGTGTTTCCAGAATGGGTTTTCTTTCTAGAAAATCTAGGGAACCATTCATCTTCTTAATCTTTTGTAACTTTTAGAAATCACCTGCATTCTTTGGCTCATGTCCCTCTTCCTTCCTCTTCAAAGTCAGCAGTACAACATCTTCAACTCTTTCTCTCATTTGGATTGTCTTGGCTCTCATTTACCAGGACACCTGTGTTTACGTTCGGACTACGTACAGAATCTAGTATCACTCTCCCTTTCTCAGGGTCCTTAAATCGGTTGTACCTAAAAAGTCTTCTTTGCCATCACGTGGTCCAAGAAGTGGGGATGTGGAAAAATATGGGAACCATTATTCTGCCTACCATGCATAGGCAGAGGACACAGATCCAGAAGCATTTTGTTGTCTTTGCTCCATATAGGAAAGTAAAAAGCAGAAATCTTGGAATCCTTTAGTGCCAGTAAAAGAAATGAAGCACAGAGGGTCACGGCTGTGTGAATGTGCACATCCCAACCAGACAGAAGTTCCGTATGATTCTTGACTACAGTTACAAATCAAAAATGTCTATAAGATGCAGTAGGAATAGCATGTTATAAGCTATCATATTTAACTAAGAACAAAGACCTTACTTCTTGACCTTCCTTTAATGACAATTCCACTTCTCCCAACATGGAATACTGCAAAAGTAACTGCTATTTGTAATTTGTTTCTGAGGTTAATTAAGATGAGCAAAGA